AGTGATGACCTGGAAAGATGGAGAGGAACAAACAGTGGATGAATTGGCCAGTCAACTCCGGCAATATGAGGAAAGTCTCTCTTCCTCCCTTGTCTCGGCTGTGGAGAAACTGTCCCGGGAATTCCAGCAACTCAGAGAGGATAGGTCCTACTCCTCACCTGTACGGACCAGTGTCTCGGCTATTAGGAGTCAGTGTTCTTTTGCTCAAGAGAGAGAACATAAAGGGTACACACCACGGGGCACCCTATGGTTTTACCTGCGTGACCACGGAGGTCACGTAACCCCGTGCTGTTACTTTATCTCTGTAATGACAGATATTTTGTATTATATGGCATATGTTATTTTCTCTTATTTAACTATTTTTGTTGTTTTTTCTTTGCTAGATGAGGGCTATTACCAAGGTGGAAAGTTTCAGTTTGAAATTGAAGTTCCTGATGCCTACAATATGGTGGTGAGTATTTGTCATTAATCCAGTATTTGTCACTTTAGATTCCTTTCCAGGTAATAGGACTTCAGGGGGAACTTGGTATTGAGACTAAGAAAGGATCTGCTGTCTGTTATGAAAGTATCATGGGATTGTAGAAAAATCTTGGTTGCCTGGAATTTTTGGAAGTCATCTAAACTCCTTCTCAAAGCTGGGGTAGTGTTGATGTGGGATTTGGTTGCTCAAGGCCTGGGAGAGTTGGCCTTTCAAAATCTCTTAGGATGGAGATTCCACCGCCTCTCTGGGCCACTCTTCCAATGTTTAATGTGAATTTTTTTCCAATATCGGGTCAGAATTTCCCTTCTGCAGCTTGTCTGTTGCCTCTTGCTTTCTCACTGTGCACATCTAAGAGCCTGACTCCATCTCCTCTATACCCTCCTATTAGGTAGCTGTAGACAGCAATAGGTCCCCACCTTCAGCCTTCTCTTCTCCAGGCTGAACAAATCCAGGTCCCTCAACTCTCCTTGTACTGTGTGTCCTCTGGTCTTACCACGATCTCAGTGGCTGTCTGCTGGGCTCATTCCAGTTTGTCAATATATCTGGTACTGGGGAGTTCAAAATGGGACACAATATTCCAGTTGCAGTGTCATGAGTCTTAGGGAGTGGGAATAATCATTTTTCTGGCTGTTTTGCAGTCCAGTGTTTGTAAGCAAACAGCCTTGAAGCTTTCATTGCCTTGATGATATTATTCCTTAAAGAAAAAATAAGTATTTGCAACTGTCTGTCAGAAGCTTCTCAGAAGCGCAGTTAAGTCAGACCTGAGTCTCCCTTCTGGCTGAGGTTCCACCCTCATCTGTTCTCTCTGTTAATTTTTCTGGAGACCTGCACTTAATGATTATTCTCACAAAAAATGATATATCTAAGAGAAAGAATGAAATAGGTGAACAGAAAGGAAAAGGTTTTTTCTTTTTGTTTCTCTGAGGCCTTCAAACTGGTGCTTATAGTTTTGATATTGGACTTAGGTGCTTAATCCCTTTTGAGAGCGTGCAGTGGAGGATGTGGAAAGCACAGATATGGTGACAAGTGGCCTCCTTTGGTGTACTCCGCCAGTTTTACTGGTTGTCTCCCAGGCTGTTTAGTTAAGTATCATTAAAAAATAACAATTTCAATGGTTATTAATCAAACAGCTTTCCAGAGGACCTACAAATGGTTGTGGTATCTTATTGTAGATAAATAGATCTCCAGACAACTTGGCCTTTTCAAGCATGAGAAATGTTGGTGTTATTGTACTTTACTAAAATTGCAGAACCTTGCAAGGGAGAGGACATGCAATTACAATAAAAATAACTTCAGACATTGTTTACAGAGTTTAGCTGTCAAAAGAACAAGATTGACTCAAAAAATGGAAAACAATTGGGGCACACGTCTGGTTCTCAGGAATTACACCTGCCATTCTGTGTACAGTTTGATATGTAAGGAGACTAGAATCATTTGAGCATTTGAATTGCATTTAGGTATATGAATTGCAGTAAGAAGGAAGCCTTTTTTTTTTTTAGTTTGAACGGTTTTGATAATTTTGCTTGCTTTTGTAACTTTTTCCCATCCTTCTGCTTTCTATTTTCTTACTTTTGGTGTTGATAGCTCAGAGCTCTTCTTTCAGGGAGGCTGAAGAATGTGTAGGGGAGAATACTAGAGAAATGTGTCTGGGAAGACCTTGGCTTTTGTGTTCAGATGCACCAAGCCTAAATTCAGCATCATATATATGTAGTGGTTGCAGTCACATCATTGTTTATATACACGTATGAAGGAGGTGTGGTGGTCTGGAATGTAATAGCTTGAATTCCCAGACTGAGCTTGGAGAATGGTGCATTAATACTGCTAGTAGAGTAGAAAGGTTATGTTTCTGAAAGCAGAGGAGTTGGGTTTGCATTCCAGAAGATGCCTTCACAGGTTTCCTAATATTCCTTTATTTATAGTCTATGAATACATGGGACATGCACTTTATGTTATAAAAAGTTCATGCTTGTAGAGGGCCTGTATAGCACTTCTAAAAGAGCTTTGAATTTTCCTCCTCCTTTTTTTGATAGTTGTGCTCTCCTTTCATAGTAATATTGGTCAAGGATTATCTGCTCAAGCTATTTTTTTTCCTAAGTGTTTAGGATCCTGGTGATATACTTCTATCTAAAACACCTACATGTACTAATAGTGTTTGCAGTTGTATGGTTTTGGTTGTGGTTTTTTTTTAAGTTCCCCTTAATCTCACCAAAGAATTCCATACTGTAATACAGGCCACTTCTACTAGCTTGTGTAAGGTTATGCACACACTATAAAGACAAAGGTGGTGTTTAAGGTTGACTAAATCCTTGTTCTAACTTGAATAAATTGTGCCATTGCATACCTGAGAAACATGGCCTTCATTATACAGGGGGAAACCCTGTCATGTTCTCTGCTGTCTAATTTTTTAGTCATCTTCAGTAATAGCAGTTTAACCACTGTGGCAATGCTAGGCACAGGGGAACATACACAATACATACTCATTTTAATTTCTGTGTTTAAGGTGTTCACCTAAACAACACTGCTGCAGGAAAGTATTTCCTATGTGTTAACAGAAGAGCTGAATGTTAATTTTGATCTGGGTTTTTTTGACTCTCAATTGCTATAATTAAAAAATCTTCTGGTTTGTTATGGTTCCTGCTCAACACTGGCAGAAAATCTACAGCAAATGTTAATTAGATATTTTTAAATTCTGAGCACCTCTCATTCAACACAAAAGTAAAAAGTTTGCCTTTGTGCAATTTAGAAAAAAATGCAGTGGGTTGAATGTTGGGTTATGGTCAGGTTATTAATGAAAATGTATATATATGTTTAAAAACAGATGTTCTTTTTTCTGTAGGCTAAAAAGATTAGTTAGAAAATAGATTCAGGCTCTGGAGCAGGGCTCTAATGACTTGGCAGTCTTGTCCGGTATTTTCACTCCCAATACGAACATGCCTTGAGGTGCAGCTGATGAGATAATGGGTGCCACAAGACTAGGGACCTGGTGCTTTAACAAATGGAACCTGATTAATAGTACAGACCTGGTTTAACTTCCACATAAAACTAAACTGTCTGCCACCACAAGCCAGGCCTTGTTTGCAGCTCCTGTGGTTCTGACGTATTGTGTTGTCAGAGTAGACAGTCTTAGGGACTCTGCAGTTTAGCAAGGTTTTTATGACATGAGGTGCCTTAGGCAGTGGTCAAAAACCAGGAATTTAACAGCAGAGCTGCTAATCTTGGTCCTTTTTCTGGCCAATATGTTAGTTGTAGAAACAGCAAACAATTGAAAGGGATTTGGTTCCTGAAGGATCAGATGTCACAATTAAGGGGCTTCCATCTTCCTCTTTGGTGACCCTACTTTATATACAGGTCTTGGGTTGGAACCGATGAAATGGGAATTGGGCTCATGCTCCATCATGCCTCCATCCAGAAATTTTGAGGTGGTGCAAGGAAGCCTGGGGACCTGAAGTGCACGCCTTGGGCAGTTCTTGTGTCAAGGCCCACTTGTACTGTAAGGGAATGCCTCTTCCACTTGTTGAGCTGGGTAGTCCAGTCCATCCAAAAGCACAGGGCAGTGTGGTTTCATTTTCCTCAATTTGTTTCTTTGTACTATGTGCTTAGCTGTGTGTCATGGTTAGGAAGGAAATTAACTCTACCCCTGCTGAAACCAGGACACTGTTTGGTGTCCAGTTTCAGCCAATCTCAAGAAATTCGTCAGGAATTAGTAGGGAAGAGTGACTGGCAAGAAATATCTTAGGGCAACATTGTAGCTTGGTCTCTGGAATCCATATTCCCGTTAATGCCTCTTTTGGGAATTCTGTTTTGTAGAAACTATGAAGAAAAAAACCTGTAGTTGTAGCTGCAGGGCAATTCACAAGAATGCTTTGGGACTGCCTAGAGAAAACATTTCAAATAACTTTGATTCCAAATTTCTGCTAGAAACCCCATCCCTTCTCTAGGGAAAAGGTTGTGAAGTGAAAAACTACAGTTACAGAACAGATAAAACATATCTGTATTAGTACATCTGTCATGTTAGAGGAATTGGCTTGCCAAATTGATCAAGATCTGAAACTGTTAATTAAGTTCATTTATTGATTAGCACTTCATATCCGATCTCTCATTTGGTGAGAATAATGGAGCGGAGATATTATTTGCTACATTTTTTTAAAGAAATGAGACAAACTTGATCTGAAGTTTGTTCTGCAAAACTTTTACTAAAACTGAAGTCAGTATAAGTGTAGTTCTCAAATGCTTACGACGCTTTCTTGTACTATCTGTATATATTCACCAATATGTTGAGGTGGACTGAGAACGAACATGAAAGTCAGTTTCCATTATCGAAACTAATGAGAGATCCTAAAAGATAAGTGGCTGCTTAGAAAAGGAGAAGAAAATACAGGCTGGGGAATGAAGGGATTTGAGAGCAGCCCTGCCGAGAAGGACTTGGGGATGCTGGGGGATGAAAAGCTAGACATGAGCCAGCAATGTGCGCTCACAGCCCAGAAGGCCAATCGTCTCCTGGGCTGCATCAAAAGAAGCGTGGCCAGCAGGTGGAGGGAGGGGATTTTTTTTAGCCCTCAGCATAAGAAAGACACGGACCTGTTGGAGCGGGTCCAGAGGAGGGCCACGAAAATGCTCAGGGGGATGGAACACCTCTCCTATGAAGAAAGGCTGAGAGAGTTGGGGCTGTTCAGCCGAGAGAAGAGAAGGCTTCGGGGAGACCTTCTTGCAGCCTATCAGTACTTAAAGGGGGCTTATAAAAAAGATGGGGGTGAACTTTTTAGCAGGGCCTGTTGTGACAGGACAAGGGGGAATGGCTTTAAACTAAGGGGGGGTAGATTTATAGGATTAGGTATATAAGGAAGACACTTTTACGCTGAGGGTGGTGAAACACTGGAATAGGTTGCCCAGAGAGGTGGTGGATGCCCCATTCCTGGAAACATTCCAGGTCAGGTTGGAGGGGGCTCTGAGCAGCCTGATCTAGTTGAAGGTGTTCCTGCTCATGGCAGATGGGTTGGACTAGATGACCTTTAGTGGTCCCTTCTAACCCAAACTATTCTATGATTCTATGAAAATCAATCTATTCACTGTTGTGACTCCCAGTTGAGGTTGGATCTACCTGTGCAGCTTTCAGTGTCTGAGGTGGATGAGTTTGAGCAGTGAAATAAATGGATTTTGTAAGCTTTGTTGTGCAAAGTGTTGCATGTATGACCTGGAGGTGGTTGGAGATATTCAAGTGAAACATTGTCTCGAGGAAATCTTGTGTGGATTTGTTGATCTAAAGAAGACTCAAAGATTACTTGGAACAAGCTCGAAGGAGAAGTTTTGTGTGAAGATAAATTTTTTGATAGTGTTGCACTTGTCCTGTCTATCTGACAGAGGAAGAAGGAGAGAGAAAGAGAAAACCTTCGTCTTACTGTCAGGAGTGGGTTTTTCTAATTTTTAGGGATGAAAAACACTTTGGTGAGAGGATAAAGGAATTCTTTTGTTTCTATGATACAAAAAATGAGACACCAGCTAATTCACTCTGACGGTGAGGATTTGGGAATATTTTTCGTAAAGATTTAGTTTGTATAAAGCTTACTTTTTTCTACTCATTAATACATTCTCTGTTTGAAGGTGCATATGGTAGAAATTTAGTCTTTTCTCTTGATCTGCCAGCATGGAATAAAAACTGCTACTTTTCCTTTCTTGAGAACTAGACATAATCTTTCAAAACAACATGAAGGTGTAGCTAATGAAAAGCTGTGCTGTTAGAAAACTTCTTAGAAAAACATTTGTTTTGAAGGGAAAAAGTTTGAGACTGTTTTCTGCATGCCACTTAATTTTCAATAATGCCATGATCCAGCACTGCAGCAGTCAGTATCCCTTGAGTTATTGGACAAACATGAAATAAGAGTGGAGAAGAGTCAATGTCTACATTATAAATTGCAGATGTGTTGTGGTGATAGGTGTTTCTTCTTTTAGTGCTGGACAGATATATTATTGGTAGTTCAGTACCATGCATATTTTCTTCTCTTCTACAAGGAGTCTTAAGTTAAAAAAAATATTTTACTAAAAAGATAATTGGGAAGTTGAGAACAAAGTGATGAGACAAAACGCATCATGTCGCTATGCAAATACAGCTATTTCAGCTATTTTGTCTCTTGACTGAAGACTTCATGGGAAGCAGTGGAGGAAGATAACTCCACATCTATAATATGTGATTTAACTGAAGTTATGAAAGGTACTGGTCTGTGCTGATGTATTCCAGTACACTTACTATAAGAAATCATCTGCTTGATTGAAAGCTGCCAATTGTAATTTGGAGAGCATGGATGGAACAACAAGCTGTTGCTAAGCTACTGGAATTTTTATGACCCGCTCTTTATTTACTTCACAAAACTAGAGCAAATGAGACTGTATTTTAAGAATCTGTTTTTCAAAACCCACTATGGAATTCAGAAATCTGGTGATCTTGCCTGAAAATAAGTTTGGTGGCTTTTTATGTTAGTGTCTTAAGTTCAGATATGACACACCTTCTTGATGCTTCTTGTGATACTTCCTATTCAGTTGTGAACCGGAAGGTCTGCGTTTAAAAAGCTGTTCTTTTGATGTAGTTATTATCATTGCATCCTCTGCTGGTTTTTAACAACCCCCTGACTTGGATAAGCCTTGGGGGAAAACACTTAGTAGTTTTCTGTTTTAAATTGTTGTCTTACCGGTTAAGTGTTAAGAAACTGAATAACATGGAATGTTTTCTTCCCCTGAAATAGATAGAAGAGAGTAAATTTTCTTGGCTTTCTTTAAAGTTATGTTTCTCTAAGAAAAAGCGTTATACCAGACCAGCTTTTGTAAAAGAGTTGAGAGAAACTAAAAGGGCAGAGAAAGCTGGTGTAACTCCTGTAGGTTATATTATCAGGGTCTTTAACATACAAACATAGGCTGTGAATATCAAATATATTTGCCTTTTTCAGTTTTGTGACTTGTAACAATGATAGAGTTCTATTTTAAAGGATAACATCGTATCTTGTTTTCTCTCCTGGCAGCCTCCAAAGGTAAAATGCTTGACAAGAATCTGGCATCCAAACATTACAGAGACAGGAGAAATCTGCTTAAGGTAGCAACAGCATTCTGTTTTTTTACCTTGGAGATTTTACTGTGTAATAAAACATTGTATGTAACTTTCATGTCAGTATTTTTCAACAGATCCTGCAAATCAGTGGCATGTGACCCTTAGGAACTTAGAAATCTGAAAGTATTGTTCTTGCTGTGTGTTAGAGACCCTGTAGAGCCTGGCTCTTCAGTTTCAGACTTAGTTTTGTTCTACTTAGGGTTAAAATATAAACTCCAACCTGAACAAAACTTAGTTGTGTTTTTTCTTCTCCCTTCGCAGATGAAGTCTTCAGGCCCTGAGAGGTCTTAAGGCTTTACTTGTTTAATGCCTGAATGTGTTAAGTGCTTGAAAACCATTTATATTACAAAAAGGAAGGAAAAAGTGTTCCTTAAACTTTGACAGTAACTATTCTATATTTGCCATTTGTTTATTTTAACATTTAATATCCACTATAAGACGCATGTGCCAGTTACAACAAAACAGAATTGGGGGAGTGCAAGTCAAAATACAAAATACAGTGCTACATCTTCTGAAGTTAAATAAAGCTTTACTTTATCAAAGTGAGAGGCTTATGTTGTTGGGGGGGTTTGCTTGATAATAGTGAATGTTTCCTCTTCAAAATCAGTTTCTGAAACTGTAATTTCAGTGTTTCATCATGAGTACCTGATGATGAAATTGGCCAGAAACCAAACAAACAAGTGAGAAGCATGACTGTCATTTTTCAAGTTAATGGGGCATAAAAGAAAAAGTAGATGAAGCAGAAGCAATGAATATAAGTGAGATTGAAAGCTGTTCTGAAAATCCAAAACAGTTGCCACGATGTGTAGCAAATTGACGCTTAAAAAAAAAAAGCTAAATTTTTCCTCTAGATTTAAAAATCATTTTAATGCTGTGTTCAAGGTCCTGGTGAAAATGAAGTTTTCACAGGGTAATCTGTCACACTTCATAGGCAGGTCAGGCTCATCAGGTGATAACAGCTAAAGAGTTGATATCAGTTCTTCTAGCCACAGTGGTCTGCTCTATGCTTCTGAGAAGCTCATATCATCAAAGGCTGACAGAAACCAGCCTTGGGAGGATGTAGTATGTTCCTGGTGCTCGATAGTCCCAGACTGCAGCAGGAGTACAGGCAGTGAGGGCTGGCGTCCATAAGCTTTACCTCATTTTGGGATTGGAGGATTTAAAAGCAGTAAAAAACATACTAAATCTTCTGAGATTACCTAAAAATCTGGTTATCCACAGTTATTTGGAGCTGTGTGCTGGTGATACAGGAAAGTTGTTTTGGCAAATATGTATTGCTACTTTTAGCAAATTTGCCAGACTTGTGGTGTTTCTCAGTGCCTCCTAGGACTGTTGCATTTTACACAGCTCAACTTGTCACTTGGCAGTAAGGAAGACTGATTTAAGGATCGTATTTTTACAGTTTAAATTCCACCAGAGTTCTTGTGGCTTAGTCACTGGAGAAAGCTTAGACACTTTGAGTCAAATGTGTATGTAAAGGAATGAGTAAGTGAACTGTTTGGAACCAGGGAACAAGAAATACTAGACACCAAATGACAGCTAGAAGTTTAAGCTCTGACTACAGTGCTACATCTTCTGAAGTTAAATAAAGCCTCCTCACATTCTTGAGGATATTTCACTTTCTTGTCTTTAAATGGTTTTAATTACGAAAGAGGAACATAGTGTTGGAACATCAGGACTTCATTAAGTAGAATTATTTTTTCAGCTTCTGCACTGAAACATCAGCTTTATTTGATTGTCAGATACTTTAACATATCAAACCTTTGAAATGTCTTACTGTTTAGATGGAAAAACTAAAATAACTCTTTGCTTTATGCCTGTTATAATGGAGAATGCACTCTATATATAGTACCTGCAATCAACTTATACAAGAGTCTTTACATTAAAATAGCTTCAGTTATTTTTAAAAGCAGAAAAAAATTTCTTACCAGTATGTTTCCCAACTGTCTTTTACATACCTCGCACTATGGTATGTGTTGGTTTGATAATCGTCCCTGAATTAAAACATACCAAATGATTAAACTGGTGATCAAGTGTAATAGTTTTGGGCAGGAAAAGTGTTGTTTCTGTCTGCTTTATGGATTGCAGTTAGTCTGGACCATATTTATAATGGACCATATTAATTAGGTCTGGACCATACTTATGGATATTGCCTGCACTGCATGTGTGGATAGAAAACATCAAGATACCTAGAAAGGATATGCTTGCTTACTACATACACCTGTTGACTACTTTCTTGACAATGTGTAATGCATGTCACTATTTCTGCCCCCCGCCCCATTGATGTGATTTCTGCCTGAGGTGTTTTTTCCTCCTTGACCGCATAAGATTTTAGAATAGTTTAATCACTCAGAAATTTCACTGCTTTTCTGCTATATGATGAGGTAGTCAGTGTTGTCAGATGTGTCTTTTATGGCAGTAGGTGTTGTTAGTTAAGGTTTGGTCGCTTCATGATGCAATATTAAAGGGTGCTGAATGGAGAAGTGTTTGAAGACTGATTAATTGCATCATCTAGTATAGCTCAGTGTTGCAATTTCTCCAGTTAACAAAAGCTGATTAAGTTGATTGCTTGTTTCTGTTCCCCAGTGCTGTTCCCAGTCTCCTCAGCTGTGCCAATGTGGAAATAAAAAATGCTTTAGAAAGACTTTCTATACCAATTGCACCACTCATCCAGTCTATAGCATGGCCTCCAGAATGGTTGCACTGGCAGTGCTGGGTTGAGCAGGGAGGTGGGCAGCGGGAGGTGAGCAAGAGAATAACCTCTATAATGTGTCCCTGCCAGCAGAGAGTTTCTGAAGTGGATTTACAGCTTTTTAATTCAAACTTACCTTGAATGATACTTTCTGTTGGCAAAAGGAAGGCAAAAGTTTTGTTGGAACTGACATTTTATGTTGATAAATGTGTTCATCTGAGATCTTTACATAAAGCAGATTTTTTTCCTGGACTGATCTCCCCATTACAGTAATTTTTAGTCATTTAAGCTATACATCATGTCAGCTGGAATTTCAGAAAGTTTTAAGCTTGCTAGAGCCATGCAGTTCCGAGTTCAATAGATGTTTTTGCAAGATCTCTTTAGGATGCTGTGTATTTAAAAAGAAAAAATTCCTCAAGGCTTTTCTCCATGCAGGAATTACTCAGAGAATGAGAAGATACTTGTGGAAATGAAAGCTAAGCAGCTGGCTGGTCACATCAGTGGCTGTTTTGGTTACTACAGCTTCAAAAATAGTGATTTTGCAGTCTTCCCATAGGAACTTGGATATAAGGATTTGAAATCATGTTCTGGGAGGTCTCCTTAGATGCAAACACTAGATGTTAAGGTGCAGTTATCAGCTCCAGTCCCCCCATGACTGAGGACACGTTTGGCTTTTCTCAGACCCTACTACAGCTGAAGACAAAGCAAATGGAAATAGTGTTTTACTGTGCTTCCCAGTTCCTGGTGAAGTTCCCTGCCAGACAAACTCCTGCTCGTGCCCCAACACTCCCCCTCCTGTCAGCCCTGCCACTTCTTGGAGTGGTTCATCTTGAGGGCGCTCACAAGGCAGGTGCGGGACAACCAGGGGATCAGGCCCAGCCAGCACGGGTTCATGAGAGGCAGGTCCTGCTTGACCAACCTGATCTCCTTCTATGACCAGGTGACCCGCCTAGTGGACGAGGGAAAGGCTGTGGATGTGGTCTACCTGGACTTCAGTAAGGCCTTTGACACCGTCTCCCACAGCATTCTCCTCGAGAAGCTGGCGGCTCACGGCTTAGACAGGTGTACTCTGCGCTGGGTCAAAAACTGGCTGGACGGCCGGGCCCAGAGAGTTGTGGTGAATGGAGTTCAATCCAGTTGGCGGCCGGTCATGAGAGGTGTTCCCCAGGGCTCAGTTTTGGGGCCGGTCTTGTTCAATATCTTTATCAATGATCTGGATGAGGGGATCGAGTGC